AAGCTGTTCTGAGCACTGTTTAGGGCATTTTTAATATTTATAATGTTCCTGGTGTCTGAAGAGCAGACTCGGAGTCAGTCACCTTTCTTCCTGTGTTCATAAGTATCCAGCTCTGTTAATTTTGAGTTGAACCAGTCTGCAGGTCCCATACACCTTAGGATCTACCAGGTGTCCTTCCACTGGTCCTGAGACCGCATATCACACTGGAACTTCGTTAATGATCAGACTTTCCCCGATTCCCATTCCTGAACCCTCTAATAATAATTATTCGCTCACAAACTATCCTGGTGGGTTGTATAATGTGAAGCAGACACGATACCACAATGTACCAGAGGAACCAAAGATCTAAACGAAGTCCTGTTTAGTAAGTGACTTACGACAGGCCACAAATGTTGCCTGAATTCACTTTTTACACGATATCTGATATAACTCAGTAGCACGGTAATGTTTGTCCAAGTGTATTACATTCCTATCTTCCTCAGTGTGTCTCACTTCTTTGAACTCACAATTTGTAGACATAAAAATATAAGACAAATGGCTAAAGGTTAGCGTGCGCCCGGATGAAACAAGGAAATGGTGGTGGTGTTGAGTTGTTTTCGTCAAAAAACCGTGAAGTGTCGCCTGACACGGGTCTTGGTCACAAATTGACATATCCAGTGATTTAAGCATCTGCTGACGTACCGGTGTCATGTATCCCACGCTGGGATACAGGAGCTATAACCACTGCTTATCACAAGACCTACGTACACGTATACCTCTGGTTAAACATCCGCTGGAGCACAGGACCTATAAGCTTGTAGTTAAATATCCGCTGTCTCACCATAGGCAGGTTTTACAACCCATTTAATAAACAAAGGATTAAGTTAAGGTGTACTAGGATTTGTGTAATAGATCTCCTGTAGAAAATCAGTTTATACATCAGTAGTGACCTGCCAGTGGTGTAGTGGTAGTCAGGTTAGATAAGAATTGTCGTTAAACAGGACTAGTGTTTCCTGACGTATGTCTTAGTGGCACTATTTACCTGGAGTTTACCTGGAGAGAGTTCCGGGGGTCAACGCCCCCGGGGCCCGGTCTGTGACTATAGGCTTCACACCCACACAAACAAGTGTAGTGGCAATGTGTGTGCTTCACAACGACACAGATAGTAGTAGTAGTGGCAGTATATGCCTCACAATCAGATAGTAGCAGTGGCAGTGTGTGCATCACACCCACATAGACAGGTGTGGTTGCAGTGTGAGCATCACACCCACACAGACAGGTGTGGTTGCAGTGTGTGCATCACACCCACACAGACAGGTGTGGTTGCAGTGTGAGCATCACACCCACACAGACAGGTGTGGTTGCAGTGTGAGCATCACACCCACACAGACAGGTGTGGTTGCAGTGTGTGCATCACACCCACACAGACAGGTGTGGTTGCAGTGTGTGCATCACACCCACACAGACAGGTGTGGTTGTAGTGTGAGCATCACACCCACATAGACAGGTGTGGTTGCAGTGTGAGCATCACACCCACACAGACAGGTGTGGTTGCAGTGTGTGCATCACACCCACACAGACAGGTGTGGTTGCAGTGTGAGCATCACACCCACATAGACAGGTGTGGTTGCAGTGTGTGCATCACACCCACATAGACAGGTGTGGTTGCAGTGTGAGCATCACACCCAGCTGACACATGGCTGAGGGATGCTGCAGCATTAATCTCTCAAAATCTTCTCCACTCCCTCCCTACATCTCATATTTTCAACTCCAAATTTATTCACCTTCTTGTTCACCCTATCTTATCCAAACTGTTCTACATCTCTACATTCGCTCTTTTAATCACACCTTTCATGCTACTATTACTTTTATATTAAATACTTATATCATACATCACAATATTTTCGTAAACCTTCTCTTTGCTACAACATTTACAGATGGTGTTTTCTGCATCTACAAAACCGTTGGCTCTGCCGTGCACCGATACATCCCCCTGGTTTTAGATCTGTTGACAAATTGCTTTCTTTCCACAAATTCACTATTATTCTATCAATCAATCGCATTTGGTATCGTTTTTCTGTGATATTCACTTGAGAAGTGACCCCCAGACACTGTGGCCACAGGCAAGGATGTATATAGTCATTCATCAAGGTTGAACGGTCACAAATTCACTATGGTTCATGCTACTTTTCCCTCATTTATTCCACATTCGCCTCACCTTGCATTGTTTCATCTCCTTACACATCCATTTTAATAATCTACATGCATTCTTATCTTATCATGGAACGGGCGGGGTTTGAACCCATGACAAATGAGTCCTAAAATTCACAGGCCAGTGCGTTAACCAGCGGACCAGCTGGCTACAATAAAATTTGTTTGCAATCTTGTTAATACTATTTCGTGAGCCATTAGTGCTTGCAATCGTGTTATTACTATTTCGTGTACTGGGCACCGAAGCAGCGGCCACTGAATTTGTCAATCCACCACTAAACATCCATTAGCAGGCAAATACAGGGTCACCCGTTCGTTTCCCAGCACTCCTTACCCAGGATACAACAGATTACTGCCGACAATACTGAAGGAAAGACACAGGTGCGGAACAAGCTCCCATTGCGACACCGCATGGCTCTGTGTAGAGCTTTAATATATCAACACACTTCAAAGCTCTACGGAGATTGAAACGTACACAAAATGAAAGCTTCTCCGGCTCTTGTGCCTTACACTATATATACTCATTTCTCCCTGAATAAATCCATTAAAAATTGGCAATTAAATTACAGGAACATAATAATAATTGCTTAATCACCATCTAGATGACGATGTAATTACAATATGACTCGTAAGAGTGCAAATTCTTACAAGTGATTCTTTACAAGTCGGCACAGCCGTCATCTGCGTTTAGACTCACATCAGCCCAAAATATCTCAGCAGATCTAAAATTAAACGTAATATACTGATGCGAAACAACGCCAAGGACAGCGTGCCAATCAGTGGCAGTAAATCTTCGCTGAAGACTTCATTAGCACTCACCAATCATCAAACTATGCCAGTACAATTTGATTAGTGCTAACTCGCGTGTGCCAACCCCGTTCACAGAGCTTCCAACCTTTTTGCGGTAATTCTCACCGTGAGTGATTTTTCGCGTTGCATTCTGGTGCTATTTCTGAGGCACCTTGAGCCCAGGCGCTGCTGAAATGTGGCGTTTAAAAAATTTATGATGAGGGTACGCCTGGCCTCAGACGCCTGGCCTTAGACGCCTGGCCTCAGACGCCTGGCCTCAGACACCTAGCCTCAGACAGACACACATGAGAGGATTACTGCTGAAAAAAAATTGTACACCAGTCAGTAGTGTCAATATACCAGTGGTGTACACGTGACTGTGTACACCTAATGACAGTGTAGCTGTAACAGGAGTTATAGATGTGACGCCGTTGTAGATGCAACTTTGGCATAGGCGTAACGGTGGTGTAGACGTAAAGATTTAGACGTAACGGTGATGTAGACGTAACACTGTAGATTTAACAGTGTAGGTGTAACAGTGGAGTAAAGCACTTCTTACTTTGTCAGTAACACAAGTCTGCAGTTTAATTTTACCTGTCCGTCTCCTTTCTTAAAAACTGGAGACAACATTTGCTATCTTCCACATCTCTGGCAGTTGCCCTGTTTCGATAGACTTGTTAAAGATGACTGCTAGCGGCACACATAGTGCCTCTGCTCCCTCTCTCAGAACTCATGGAAAAATGTTATCTGAGTCCACCGCCTTCAAGGCATTTAATTCGCATTGCAGTTTCTTCACCTTCTCTTCAGTTGTGTGTGGTGTGTTCAGCACTTGCTGGTGTACTCTGCTTTCTGCATCCTTTGAAAATACCTCCCTAAACCTAATGCTGAGCTCTTCATGACCTGGTCATTCCTTGTAAGCTCCCAGCCTGATTTCTTCAGCCTGATTATCTGGTTCCTGACTATTGTCTTCCTCCTGATATGTTTGTATAACAACTTTGGGTCGGATGTGGCTTTCTTAAATTGCCGTTGAGCCTACCTCCTTATCCATGCATATTTGTTTCTGGCTCTTCGGCTCAACTCCTTGTTTTTGTGAGTTCTTTGCCTTCTATACTTTTGCCATGCTCTAGCACATTTGCTTGGCCTCTCTACGCCTCTGGGTAAACCATGGGCTCATTCTGGTCCTCCCACTGTGTCTATTGCCCCTTAGGTACAAGCTACTTTCTTGCACTTTCTGGCCACATCCTCCATCATGTAATTCACTGCTTGTCCCTCAAGTTCTCTTTCCCACTGCACCTCATACAGGAATTGCCTCATGCCTGTTAGTCCCTCTTTTGAGGTTTGGCTTCTTCCCTCCTTTCCATGCTACTGAACCCTCCACTGTTAACTCTACAAGGTATTCGAAACTTAGGACCATGTGATCACTAGCGCCGAGGGGCATTTCACGTGTAATATCCCCTATGTTGTAACCACTCAAGGTGAATACCAGGTCCAGCTTTTCTGGTTCATCCTCTCTCTCTCTCTCTCTCTCTCTCTCTCTCTCTCTCTCTCTCTCTCTCTCTCTCTCTCTCTCTCTCTCTCTCTCTCTCTCTCTCTCTCTCTCTCTCTCTCTCTCCTCACGCTCTCTCTCTTTCTCTCTCTCTCTCTCTGGCTATATCCCTAACATGTTGATGCATGAAGTTCTCCATTACCACCTCCAGCATCTTAACCCTTCACGTTTCTGCTCCCCGTGTGGCTCTAGGTTCTTCCAGTCGATCTCCTTGTGGTGTATTCACTTATATGTGGTTGCAGGGGTCCATTCACAGCTCCTGGCCCCTGTGTGTGCGCGTTATGTTTGTTTTATGTTGTACTCACCTAATTGTACTCGCCTAATTGTGGTTGCAGGGGTCGAGACTCAGCTCCTGGCCCCGCCTCTTCACTGATCGCTACTAGGTCCTCTTGTGTTTGCGTTTGTTGTGTGTGTGTGTGTTGGAGAGAGAGAGAGAGAGAGAGAGAGAGAGAATTTGGGATGATGTTACACTTACAGCAAAAATGACATTGAAGGTGATGATAGTAAGAGTGAGGCACTTGACTTCGCCTGGGCTGCCACCCACCCCGCTGTAGCGATAGTTAGGACGACGATCCATCCCTCTCCACCCACTTCTGGAGACGACTAACTCTGCGGACGACCAACTCTGCGGACGACCAGCTCTGCGGACGACCAACTCTACGGACGACCAGCTCTGCGGACGACCAACTCTACGGACGACCGGCTCTTCTTGGAAGGAAGTCGTAGAAGGCTACACTGCCTGGCCTGCTCGTCCCAGTGTTGCGATCTGTTGAGAGAATAATCGGTTGGTCAGAAAACTTAGAAAATAAAGTTGAAATCTATAGGGCGAAGGCAAAAGAAATTAAATGGAAATGAAGCGAAAAAATGAAGACTGACAGCGGATATTAAGAGAGCAAGTAAAGAGGTGAGTAGAAGTGGGAACGAAGAGTAAATTGAGAAAGCAATATAAGGGATAGAAGATAAAAGGGTCATATTCTTAGCTAGAAGACTTAGTAACGACCTGCCACCGAGAGCTAATCCCATCCCTGTATGATGCCCACCAGTGAAAAGTTCAGAAGTTTGATTCAATCCCAGTAACATTAAACTTTGTTAAGCACAACAAACATGTTTCCTAAACTCGCTTGAAGTGCTTTTAAGTATACCATTGAGTTGTAGAGCATCGCATTAACGCCTTCAGCTTTAATAAGGCCGCTGTTTTCATGATTTGTAGTTAATAAGTTAGTCAGCTAGTGGTGGAGGAGTGGCCATGATAAACAGCGCAGGCAGTTGGTATAGGGGGATAAAACCGTGTGTGTGTGTGTGTGGGTGTGTGTGTTGTGTGTACTCACCTATTTGTACTCACCTATTTGTGGTTGCAGGGGTCGAGTCTTAGCTCCTGGCCCCGCCTCTTCACCGGTTGCTACTAGGCCCTCTCTCTCCCCGCTCCATGAGCTTTATCAAACCTCGTCTTAAAACTGTGTATGGTTCCTGCCTCCACTACGTCATTTTCTAGGCTATTCCACTGCCTTACAACTCTATGACTGAAGAAATACTTCCTACTATCTCTCTGACTCATTTGTGTCTTCAACTTCCAATTGTGGCCTCTTGTTTCTGTGTCCCCCCCCTGGAACATCCTGTCCTTGTCCACCTTGTCTATTCCACGCAGTATTTTATATGTCGTTATCATGTCTCCCCTGACCCTCCTGTCCTCCAGTGTCGTCAGGCCGATTTCCCTTAATCTTTCTTCATAGGACATTCCCCTTAGCTCTGGAACTAACCTTGTTGCAAACCTTTGTACTTTCTCTAGTTTCTTGACGTGCTTTATCAAGTGCGGGTTCCAAACAGGTGCTGCATACCCCAGTATGGGCCTGACATACACGGTGTACAGTGTCTTGAATGAATTCCCTTACTAAAGGGATCGGAATGCTGTTCTCAGGTTTGCCAGGCGCCCATATGCTGCAGCAGTTATCTGATTGATGTGTGCTTCGGAGACATGCTCGGTGTTATACTCACCCCAAGATCTTTCTCCTTGAGTGAGTTTGCAGTCTTTGGCCACCTAGCCTATACTCTGTCTGTGGTCTTCTGTGCCCTTCCCCTATCTTCATGACTTTGCATTAGGCAGGATTAAAATTTGAGAAGCCATTTGCTGGACCAGGTGTCCAGTCTGTCCAGGTCTCTTTGAAGTCCTGCCTGGTCCTCATTAGATTTAATTCTCCTCATTAACTTCACATCATCTGCAAACAGGGACACTTCTGAGTCTAACCCTTCCATCATGTCGTTCACATATACCAAAAATAGCACTGGTCCTAGGACCGACCCCTGTGGGACCCCGCTCGTCACAGGTGCCCACTGTGATACATCATTACGTACCATGACTCGTTGTTGCCTCCCTGTCAATGTATTCTCTTTGTGTGTGTGTGTGTGTGTGTGTGTGTGTGTGTGTGTGTGTGTGTGTGTGTGTGTGTGTGTGTGTGTGTGTGTGTGTGTGTGTGTGTGTGTGTGTGTGTGTGGTGTGTGTGTGTGTGTGTGTGTGTGTGTGTGTGTGTGTGTGTGTGTGTGTGTGTGTGTGTGTGTGTGTGTGTGTGTGTGTGTGTGTGTGTGTGTAACTACAGTAGCAGAACTGTGCTCGTGATGGTGCCCCGTCTTTACATTCACAAGGTCATACATTGTTTTTATATCTAATGTTACTAAGGCTCACTGGCTCGTGTGGCAGCCCAGCCCAGCAGTGTAACACTCTTTGTGAAGAAACACTTCACAGTATTTTTGCGACGGAGTGAAATGGTATAAAATACTGATACGCTAAAGAAACAACTGCAGTGTAATATGATTCTTTACACAAGACTTTTCGCCCATACTGTGGGGCTTTATCTTGTCATAAAGAGGAAAAGCCGGGTAGGAAGGAGAGCACAGTGAGGCGAGGTTTATCGAGATTTCTCCAAGTTTATTGGTTTCATCTACTATGTGGGCAAAATGTCGTCAATAATGGATCACATAATGCTGCATATGCGTCACTTTCACAGTTGTGACGCCTTCTTGCTCTTTATGAGGTCAAAACAAAAATTCTTTACACATTTTCTAACGTCTTCTTTATGGTGGTTATCATGTCTCCTGTCTTCCTTCAAGTACCCAAAGAAGACATCTTCAGTTACTCAATCTTGACAACTCAGTTTTATCGACCTAAGGAATCATTTTCTGTGCGCCATATCCTTGAACATTTTTCAGTTTTCGGAATATTTTTTTTGGTGGGGTGACAACACCATACTGCCGCGTATATTACAATATATTTTTTACGTGTGCTGTAACTAGATTTTTTTATCATTCAACTCTTCATATACCTAAGGATTATTTTGAAGTTTGACAGTGTAGCATATGAGTTTCTGGCTAATTGATTTATGTGGTGTGAAAATCTTTTGTACAATTCCTTCTCTGTCCCTCTCCCTGGCAGGTGTGAAAATATTATATATAATACACACTGGTGTACCACACCTGTGACTAATATTTTTTTTTAACGAATAAATGTTTGTATTTGCTGTATTTCTTATTTTGTCTTTGTTGAAGAACAAACAGACACAATACCGTGACTGGATCAATACACATAACCTGTACATAGGAGACAAAAGCTTACCACGACGTTACGGTCCGACTTGGACCATTTACAAAGTCCAAGTCTGGCCGAAACGTCGTCGTAAGCTTCTCTCTCCTATGTGCTGGTTATTTTCGTTTGGTCTATGTTCTTTGCTGTTCGGTTATACCTTTCTTCCATTTCCATCACGTGACACTACGTGAAATTTAAATATCCATTTGTCACTTATCCAGTAGCTCGATTGGTAGCGCACTCAGCTCACACACTGAGGTTCGGGGATCGATCCCCGGTACAGGTGGAAACATTAGGACCTGTTTCCTTCAGATACCTGCTATCCCTGTTCAACTAGCAGTAGAACAGGTACCCGGGTGTTAGTCGACTGATGTGGGTCGCATCCTGGGACAAAACTGACATAATTTGCCCGAAATGCTCTGCATAACAAGGGACTTTCTATGTAGTAGTACGTCACTGATGTCAGCTATGGTCTGTGTACCTTGTACATGTACTTGAAGAAATAAAGATTATTGTTATTATCCAAAATCTTATGTGTATTTTTTTTTTCATTTCTCTGCGTCGGCGGCCACCAGGTGTACCACTGTTGTCTTCCCACTACCCAAGAAACTTACATACCTGGGATCTACCTCGGAGGATGTTCCGGGGGGCAACGACCCCGCGGCCCGGTCCATGACCAGGCCTCGCAGTGGACCAAGGTCTGGTCAACCAGGCTGTTACTGCCAGCCACACGCAAACCAACGTACGAACCACAGCCCGGCTGGTCAGGTACTGAGTTTAGGTGTATGTTCAGCTCCATCTTGAAGACAACCAGGGGTCTATTAGTAATTCCTCTTATGTATGCTGGGAGGCAGTTGAAAAATCTTGGCAGCTGAAGTCTATTCTCATAGCCCTCAAAGCCATATACTCTATAAACTCGCATCGCAATAAACGACTGTCAGTGAATAAACGAAAAAATAAACAGGGACTAGAACCGTGGCTACGGGCTTTCAATAAAGAGCAAGCAGAAAGCGCTTTGGAATACGTCTGTGTCAGCAGCGACCATCTGTGACCTTCCTATTGAAAGCTCAGATCTCTCTGGAACAGTACTGGATCTCCTACGTGCCAGGACCATGGTTCGAGTTCCCATTCATTCTAGTGTTTATTCAATGAAAGACGTAAAGTCCTTTCTACAATTTTCTCTTATACGTTGTGTAATTACATGAATACGAATAGGAACAGACCAGGGAAAAGACTGCAAATGTATCCGGAAAAGTGGCTTTTAGAACAGTGTACAGGCTCGGGGGACATTATTATTATTATTATTATTATTATGGTGGTGGAGCGCTAAACCCGTGGGATTATACAGCGCCTGGGCTCAGGGGATTATTATTGTGGTGGAGCGCTAAACCCGTGGGATTATACAGCGCCTGGGCTCGGGGGACAATGGCTACTATTATAACCACTCTCAAAGTAGACCTCAGGATGAGCAGAAATTTCTCCAGAGGCTCGCATTTGCCACAGCAATAAGGGAGCGGCTAGCTTATTGAACAACCCATATCCAACCTGTGGACGGTAGCGCAAGAGCATGTGCATACACATAATGCCTTGGACCTAGGCCCCAATAGGGTTTACGTGAGTGCATCTCGATTTATATATATATGCAAGCAAATTTATGAAATTTGCTTAATATGGTATCATATTTTTTATTAAGATATATATCTCTTGACATATCCCATAAATTAAGCATGGAAAGCTAGAAAAAGTGCAGAGGTTTGCAGAGATGCAAAATGCAAAATGCCCCCAATAAAAAGTAGGGGCGCCATTGGTACACTAAGGGAAAACACCATAAGTGTCCGGGGCCCAAAACTGTTCAACAGCCTCCCATCAAGCATTAGGGGAATTGCCAATAAGCCCCTGGCTGCCTTCAAGAGAGAGCTGGACAGATACCTAAAGTCAGTGCCGGATCAGCCGGGCTGTAGCTCGTACGTTGGACTGCGTGCGGCCAGCAGTAACAGCCTAGTTGATCAGGCCCTGATCCATCGGGAGGCCTGGTCATGGACCGAGCCGCGGGGGCGTTGATCCCCGGAATAACCTCCAGGTAACCAGAGCTGAGGTGTATGAGCTACGAGGAGAGACTAGGGGAGCTAAGTCTAACGATAGAGGATAGAAGGACCAGGGGCGACAGGCCGAGTCTGAGAGGCAGGTCTCAGGTACACGAGGGTACAGTTGAAAGGTAAAAACAGATGAGTTACAGGGATGTTAGGAAGTTCTTCTTTAGCCTTAGAGTGGTCGGGAAGTGGAACTCCCTAGACAGTGAAGTGGTAGAGGCAGGACCCATACAGTTTTAAGAATATGTATAAGAGGGCTCACGTAGCCAGGAGAATGAAAACCCAGTAAGGGCCGCCGGAGAAATGAAGCCAGGAGCTAAGCCTCGACCCCTGCAATCACAAATAGATGAATACATATAACTGAGTACATAAATACGTATATGAATCCAAATTCCTATATTTTGCTATTTTAAAAATTGATCACCACCCTCCACTATTCCTTTAGCGATCCTCTAGTACTTTTAGTATATTCAGATCAAGAGTTAAACTCATTTATGTTCTCTTAAAAACTACATGAAACATTGCGGGAGTAACACAAAGCATAAAAATCACAATTTTAAACAACAAATCTCGCAAATTCTGATGACTTTCAGACTAGCGGTGTACTTTATCAACTGGTAAATAAAATCTGTGGAAAAACTCACATGGTATCGAAATTTGTGTAACAACTTCTCGCTGCTTCAACTACTAAGGTTTTTAGCACCGCATCTAACAAATGAAGACTGAAGCGATGGTCCCTCCGTTCAGTGGTGGAGCTGTGACCAGAATGTATGATGCCAGTTTGTGGGAGGGAGGGGAGATGGAGAGGAAGGGAGAAGGGGAGAGAAGGAATGAGGGAGGGGAGGGGAGGAGAGATAGGGAGGAAGGGGGTAGGGGATAGAAGGAATGAGGGAGGGAAGGAGAGAGAAAGGTAGAAAGAGGGAAATACGAAAGAAAGATGTTGAAGGGAGGACAGTTTTTTTTTTTTTTTAATCAAAATGGATACAACAGCCATTGTGCTAGGATAGAAGGCAGGAGGGGGGATGGACGAAACAGGGAGGGAGCCCTCGGTGGGGGGACGGAGGAAAGTGGAGGGGGCTGGGGTCGACTGAGTGTCAGAGAAGGTAGTATAAACTACAGCTCGATAAGACTGATAACACTCCCACTCATCCGTTAAAGCGGAACCCGTATGTAACACCCAACCACACAATTACGCAGCAGCATTGTACAATAATGGTGACACACGGGAACCACCAGCTTTAACACACGTAGCCTAATTAAGCTTTTTCCACACTAACTGAAGCTAATATAGTATATCTAAGCCACGGCGAAGTGATAGTAACCTACATTAAATAGGCCTAATCTTCCACAGATAACATTAAACCTAATCTCCAGAAGCCTCCCGTTACTTAAAGGCCTAATCCAAATCTATCGTAGATTACCGTAATCTGAATTTATCATAGCAATGTACACAAAATAAATCTATACCAACCCTGCATGACCGAAGCTTTTTCTAGCCTGTATATAGAGCGTTTGTAGGATATGTTAAGTTGGATTTATTAAGTTAGACGTGGCCTGAATAAGTACAGATCTAGTTTGGTTGCATTACATATAACTGAACATTATCATACAGTGTACACCTTCACCTACAATTAGTATTATACAATGTAAGCCTTCGCTTACAACTTGTATCATACAATCTACACCATCACATACATCTTGCATCATACATGTACATCTTCACATACAACTTGTATCAAACAGTGTATGCTTTAGCATATTATTATTATTATTATAATCAAGGGGGAAGCGCTAAACCCGGAGGATTATACAGCGCCTGGGGGGGGGGGATGTGGAAGGCATTCAGGCTTAATGCTTTAGCATAAATCTTGTATCATACAGAGTACGCCTTCGTGAGTGTACCACCAGACATGTTGCAATAACTTATGATTCATATAATTCATCAGAATTCGTTAAACTGTTTATCCTCAAAGATTATTATTATTATTATTATTATTATTATTATTATTATTATTATTATTATTATTATTATTATTATTATTATTATTATCAAGGGGAGCGCTACACCCGTAGGATTCTGCAGCGCCTGTGGGGAGGATGTGGAAGGTATTCAGGCTTAATTCAGGGAACCGGAGCACAGATCCAATTCCCTAGATCAAAAGCCCCTCACCAATGTCAAGGAACCTTCCTTGAGAGGTCCTCAAAGATGAGGTATAGCCTACCCTCCTTCCTATTCCTTGGGATAATTGAGACATTTTCATTAAAATTCCATTTCTCCTGTATATGGCGTAGACTATCCTGAGTGATGGCACCTTCCAAGTGATGGTAACTTCAGCTCTGATGAAACAAAACTTCTGAAGCTCTTTTAGTCGATATCCTCAATATCCTACTGAAGTTTCCCAGCTCAGGTTGACAGATGTCAGCACCCAGTGTGAGCCCCATCCTGCGTGATGGAATATGACAGGGAAACAGCTTTTGGTCCCATTGTATAATTATCATATCGATAAGAGTAGCAACACACTGCTGATATATCCATTATTTGGAGGGGGGGAGGGAACAAAGTAAGGTTCAGCATATGCTGTCATCCTCCCCAGGATGTGTGGCACCATTCAGAACCGTGACTGTGTCTCCCTGCTGCCTTTCTGATGCGTCCCTAGTGTTGCAACAGATTTGCAGGGAATCCAAGTAAGAAAATCACATGAAAAAAGCCACATTTTCTCGTAGTTAGATTTAACCTAACTTAATCTAACGTATTATTATTATTATAATCAAAAAAGAAGCGCTAAGCCACAAGGACTATACAGCTAATCTAACGTAATCTAGCTCAGTCTAGCATAACCTAACCTAACTTTTTTTTTCTGTGATTTCATTTCCGTTCACTATTTGCAGCATGAGGTGAGAGGGGTTTGAAGGCATGAGCTTGCTACCACCTGCAGCTCACAAGACTGCCATCCCCACGAGCCCCTTTGAGGCGGGGCAGATGGCAGACCAGAGGCCTAGCTTCTCCCTACGAGCCCCGTGAGGGCGGGGAATGTGGCTAGGCCTGGGGACAGTTGGTCCCAAAGATGAGGGGGTACTTGTACCTCCTCCCATGGGAGACTTAAGTCTCGTGACACTCCCCAGATAGGGAGACAAGGCCGGGTCACCACTACTTGGAAAAGACCCGGGCCGGGAGAATACCGGCGAATAAAAAAAAAAAAAAAAAAAAAAAAAAAAAAAAAAAAAAAAAGGTGACAAGCACTGAAGTCATCCCCTGCATTTATTATTATTATTATAATCAAGGGGGAAGCGCTAAACCCGGAGGATTATACAGCGCCTGGGGGGGGGGGATGTGGAAGGCATTCAGGCTTAATTCGGGGAACTGGAGCACAGATCCAATTCCCTAAATCAAGAGCCCCTCACCAACATCAAGGAACCTTCCTTGAGGGGATCATCCCCTGCAATTATTCCGTCTGTGGACGCCTGTGAGAAAAACTCGTTGACATTTCTTTTTACTTGTATATGTTGTAAACTGTTAGCGAAGTGTCGGGGTGTATGTATAAGGACTGCTTGCACTTCCACAGTTTACAAGTGCGTCAATGATTGCGTAGGAGGAGATAGGGAGTGCATTTTTTTTATATAAATTGCTGCGCCTGTTTTGTCACCACCACAGTGGTTGTGATAAGCAAAGAATCCAGGTAATGTAGATTGACTCATGGTGGGTGTCAAGGTCTTTTTGTATTAGGAATAAGTCTATGTGTTTCTTCAGTCTCGGAATATTCTATGGTAGGATCGCGAACTGCCGAGGATTATATATATATATATATATATATATATATATATATATATATATATATATATATATATATATATATATATATATATATATATTCCTTCCTGCCCTTGGATCGAAGCTTATTGCCTCTCATTCACCAGATGCTTCATGTATCTTACTAAATAATAATGATAATAATAATATTATTATTATTACAATCAGAACCAAGCGCTAAACCCACAAGGGTCAAATAATAATAATAATAATAATAATAATAATAATAATAATAATAATAATAATAATAATAATAATAATAATAATAACAGTAATCTGTTCCTGAGACTGAGTTGTTCTGACCAGTCACCCCTCAAGGGAGGTTCCTTGACGCTGGTGAGGGGCTCTTGTTCTAGGAAATTGTATCTTTGCTCCAGCTCCCTGAATTGAGGCTGAATACCTTCCACCCCCTCCCCCACCCCACATGCGCTGTATAATCTTACGGGTTTAACGCTCCCCATGATAATAATAATAATTATTATAATAAAAAGAAGCGCTAAACCACAAGGGCTATACAGCGCTGAATAATAATAATAATAATCTGACCAATTGTGTCATGTGGATGGTCCCATGTCTGTGGTTTCTGCTCAGCTTCCAGTCTTGTCAGCAAGGTGGAGACTGCTAACTCGGTATCGTCTTTCAAGACGGCTCTCCCCAGGTACCCCAGTATCATGCATGCAACATTACTTTTAGCTAAGTTTTACTGGGCGAGGCAGTGTCCTCTGTTACCTCCTCCTGAGTCTGACCTGCAGGAATGGTGTTGTAATGATTTGCTGTTGCAGTGCAGTGATGAAGAATGGCTATTGAGCAGTGAGGGTTAAGAAAGAAGTGGATTTTGGTGGCTACTACCCATCCATTATCCTTTACATTATATAAATAAATAACTCGATTTATACGCACTAATCCACTAATGTAAGCCTGCGTTATTAAAAGAGCTGACGTTGCTAGATTGATTCTATGATTTATATATATATATTATATATATATATATGGTCCAATAGTGGAAAATATTGCCTCAACAATGCTTCAGAGTGTGTCAGGGAAGGATAGAGCCCGCCTCCTGGCAGTGAGAGCCCCTCATGCTGGGGACTTTCTGTTGGCTGTTCCCAACTCCAGCCTTGGCACACGTCTCGACCCACATACCATCCGCATCGGTGTTGCCCTTCGACTTGCCGCCCCTATTCTCGCCGAACACAGGTGTATTTGTGGCAGTGAAGCAGCAGACCGATTCGGGTACCATGGTCTTGTGTGCCGTAAATCCGAGGGAAAGATTGCAAGACATGAGGAGGTTAATAACATTATCAAGAGGAGCCTCACAACAGCTGGATGCCCAGCAGTAAGGGAGCCACCCCAACTATGCAGATCTGATGGCAGCCAGAAGCGTCCAGATGGTATCACCCTTCAAGCCTGGACAGATGGGAAGCAGGTGGTGTGGGACTATACATGTGCATCTACCTTGGCTGATACCTATCTCCAATACACCAGGGAGGAAGGAGGGGCAGCTGCCAGCTTCAGGGAGTCCCAAAAGTCTAGAAAATATGGAGAACTTGCCCATCATTATATGTTTGTTCCCATAGGCTCAGAGACCCTTGGCTCATGGGGAAAGAGTGCATCTAAATTCCTTAAGGAGCTGGAAAAAGACTCATCAGGGTAACTAGGGATCCCAGGGCAGCTAGTTTTCTGTTCCAGCGGCTCAGTGCGGCTGTTCAAAGGGGTAATGCCTGCTGTATTTTGGGCACACGCCCCAGCTCTGAGGAGCTGGATGAGATTTTCGCCTTATAATCGGTGATACACACGTAACAACATGTACCGTATGTGCCACCTTTATATCAATAGTGTATCTCTTGGATCTTCTGTACCATATTATGTAATAAAATATTCCTATTAGTAAAAAAAAAATAAATATGAAAAGATGGGGTGGTAGGGGAAGTGGAATATTCAAACGACTTCAGGAAGAAATCCAAATATTTTTCCTTGAAGCCTTTTTATCCACTTC